AGAGTGAGAGAATGGACATGAAAACATTGGCATTTAAGCCTCACACGGATCCCACTAGGTAAGCGTGGCTACTCTCCTTTCACAGAGGAGGAAAATGAAGTCTAGAGAGAAACAACGTACTCAACATGACAGTGATGCCCAGCAGGGACTCCACCAGTCAGAGTGAGACCAAGTCTGACTTTCCTGCTGGGCACCTTGGCACCCAGAGGTTCTCTTTGCCCCTGCAGAAGCTACTGGGTTTGAGAAATAAGTCATGGCCTGAGCCGAACATCCACAGAAATACACCAGAGTGGATGGAAATGTTTTCATAAGTGAGCCACTGGGAAGCTTATTTAAGAAAACCCACAGCCAAGGGGATTTGAATTCTTAAGATGCCGCTGCAGACAATGTCTCCTGAATGGTTTCTGGAGGTGTAGATGCAACAGCGGCTGATTTCTGTGTATTGATCATCTGCTCACATGCAGCTAGAGGAGCTGTGCCTGTGAAAAGCTCTCAAGGGCTACTGTGAGGCTGTTGCAGAAAATGAGGTGGTTCTAACTAGCTAATCGGTAACAACCTCCAATGTTTAATGTCGTTTAAGAAGCAAGGGCCAGACACTGTGTGCAATGAGATGGCATTTGTGTAAATAGATTTCAGGCAATCATAAATGCTGATGTGTGAATACAATTCAGCCTGGAACCATTTATGAGAAACTGATGGAGAAGCCCATAGGTTGGGAGAGGGAAGATACTTTCATTTTACGTTCTTTGTACCATTTGGAATTTTAAAAACCATTTTATTTGCATGAATTTCTTTCAAAAAAATTTATATTTTTGAGTATCCATAATAGATTTTTGGTTTTTGAAACACAGTCACACTGTCTCCCAGGGTGGAGTGCAATGGCACCATCTTGGCTCACTGCAACTTCTGCCTCCCGAGTTCAAGCAATTCCCCTGCCTCAGCCTCCCCAGTAGCTGGAATTAGAGGCATGCACCACCAAGCCCAACCAATTTTGTACTTTTAGTAGAGACAGGGTTTCACCATGTTGGCCAGGCTGGTGTTAAACTCCTGACCTCAAGTGATCCATCCACCTTGGCCTCCCAAACTGCTGGGATTACAGGCCTGAGCCACCGCACCCCACCCATAGTGAATTTTTAAATTTAGTGTTTTCTAGCTCTCTGGTGTCCTCAACATGGTTCTGTTTTAAATACACACACACACACACACACACACACACACACACACACATCTCTTTGAAGTTACATCAGTGTTTTCAAGGGTCTGAAGGGACCCAAAGTAACAACCACTGCTTAAATTTTAACTCAGCACTGTCCAGATGTACTTGGCGAGGGACACAGCTTATGAAGCCAGTGGCACCTTAAAACATCCCATGGCCCACTTCTGGACTCTTTATTATTATATTTTGAGACACTGTCTTGCTCTGTCTCCTAGGCTGGAGTGTAGGGGCATAATCATGGCTCACTGCAGCCTTGACCTCCTTGGCTTAAGCAATCCTCCCAACTCAGCTTCCCGAGTAGCTGGGACCACAGAAACCATGCCTGATCAATTTTTTTTTCTTTTTTTGTAGAGACAAGGTCTCTCTGGCTTGCCCAGGCTGATCTTAAACCCAGGTGATCCTCCTGCCTCCGGGATGTTGAGATTACAGACATGAGCCACTGTGGCTGGCCCCTGGCTCTTCCTTAGATTGTGGTTAGGGCTGGGTGTACTGGCTCATGTAATCCCAGAACTTTGGGAGGCCGAGGCAGGTGGAGTTCAAGCTCAGGAGCTCGAGCTCAGCCTGGGCAACATGGCAAAATCCCTATCTCTACCAGAAATACCAAACACCAGCCAGGCGTAGTGGCTTGCACTTGTGGTCTCGCCTACTCAGGAGGCTGAGGTGGGAGGGTCACTTGAGCCTGGGGAGCAGGGGTTGCCGTGAGCTGAAATGACACCACTGCACTCCAACCTGGGTGACAGGGCAAGACCCTATGTCAAAATAAATAAAGGACTGATTATGGTTAGACAGAGCTGGCAGCCTCATTTATTTAATCAAAGCACCTTTTGTGAGCTCTCCAATTTGGTATTTTGGTTCTTACATTGAGTGTCTGAAGACAATGAGGAAGAGACCTTTACTGGTCTGGGGGAGCGAGGTCTCCAGCCCATCAACATTAATAGCTGACCTGCTGCACACCAGCGGCAGAGCAGGGGTGAGCCCTGCATTTGTATAAATGGAGTCAGAAGACAGTTGCTGAGTCCTGGCGGTCGTGTTGCCCTCCCAGGGCTGAGAACCTGGCTGGATGCCTCTAATGTGACCTACAGCAACTGGCGCAGAGGGCAGGCCACCGCGGCCCCTGACACCTGCGGCCACATCGGGAGAGGCCCTTCCTCTGAGTGGGTGGCCTCGGACTGCACCCAGACCTTTGCCTTCGTGTGCGAGTTCGGTGAGTGAACCCTGCACCGGGGTCCCCTCCTTCCGCCCCGTCTCCCTGCCGACCTGAGGCCCCCTCTCCAGGCTCACCTCTCTCTCCTGCTTCTGCTTCCATCTCTCTGACCTTCCCTTTCTCTTGCCCCCGCCTCTGTTTCAGTTTTCTCTTGGTCTTTCTTCCCCTTCTCTCTTTCTCGAACTCTGTTTCTCTCCCCCAGTCTCTGACTCTCTCCCTGTCTCTGTGGTCTCTCTGTCTCCCTCTCTCTCTGCAGGGCCTGCCTGTGTCCGTCTCTGTCTCCCTGCTGAAGAGCTGACCTGTGTGTGTTTTTCCAAGCTCGCCTCTGTTTGTGGCTTCTCTCGCTGTCTCTGTGCCTCTCTCTCTGCCCAAGTGATGCTCCGTCGTTCATCCCTGCCCCCTCCCCCTCCACCTGCCTGCCTTCCTGACTGCCCACCTGTCTCGTCTCTGTCTCTGTCTTTCCCTCTCTCTCTCTTTTTTTTTTTTTTTTTTTTTGACATGGAGTATTGCTCTGTTGCCCAGGCTGGAGTGCAGTGGCACAATCTCGGCTCACTGCAACCTCCGCCTTCCAGGTTCAAGCGATTCTCCTGCCTCAACCTCCTGAGAAGCTGATATTACAGGTGCGAGCCACCATGCCTGGCTAATTTTTATATTTTTTTAGTAGAGACAGAGTTTCGCCATGTTGGCCAGGCTGGTCTCAAACTCCTGACCTCAAGTGATCTGCCCATTTCGGCCTCCCAAAGTGCTGAGATTATAGGGGAGAGCCACCATGCCTGGCCTCCAGTAGGTTTAATATTACAGTGGGGGCACAGAGAAGCTAACTAATTTGTTGAAGGTCACACAGCAGTGTGTGGCTGGGCTGGATCTGATCCCTGGGACCCTGGCTCAGTGCGATGCTGCTGATGACCACATTTTATTTCTCACCCCTGCCAAGCAGCTCCTATGGAGTTCTTGCCTCTCAGCCCAACCCCCCGGGACCTTCCTCTTCCTGTGAACCCGCACTCACCCATCTGTAACCTTAACCCCCCGTTAATGTCTTGCCTTCCCTTTGCCACAGGGGTTGGCCAGAGCCTGGCCTGCGAGGGCCTCAATGCCACCATGCACTGCGGTTCGGGGCAGGTCATCCAGGTCCAGAATGCCGTCTACGGGCGCCAGAACCCCCACTTCTGCACCCAGGATGTCGGGCATCCCTCAGATCTGGGGCAGGGATGTGGCTGGGCCAACGTCAAGGATGAGGTGGCAGGTATGGCCCAAGGGCTCTGCAGGTCTGGCTGCCAGCGGAGGGCAGTTGCTGGTATTCTGTGCTCAGCAAGGGTTCCGCAAAAGCCTCTGATAATCTTCATCTCTGACCCTGGGCTCCAACACGTGGGAAAACTGGCTGGTCCCCGCCCATGGCACCGAGCAGGGAAGCAGGTACCTGTGGCCCACCCACCCCGACATCAAACCCAGCCACGGATCTGGAAGGCATGGTGTACCTCGACCCCTGCTGGGTGCAGGAAACATCACTTTTTATACTTAATTTTTTTTGAATTTTGAAATACTCCAAACCTATAGACAAGAATAGAAAATACTGTAATGAACTCCCACAAATCCACTGCCCACCTTCATCAGATCTCAACACCAGGCACACTTGCTTAAGAATCCCTCGTTAGAAAAATGAATGCAGCTGGGCACGGAGGCTCACGCCTATAGTCTCAGCACATTGAGAGGCCAAGGCGGGCGGATCACCTGAGGTCAGGAGTTCAAGACCAGTGTGGCCAACATGGTGAAACCCTGTCTGTCCTAAAAATACAAAAATTAGCTGGGTGTGCTGGCAGCCACCTGTAATCCTAGGTATTTGGGAGGCTGAAGCAGGAGAATCACTTGAGCCCCAGAGGCAGAAGTTGCAGTGAACCAAGATCACGCCACTGCACTCCAGCCTGGGGGACAGAGTGAGAGTGTCTCAAAAAAAAAAAATAAAAAGAAAAATGAATACAACACTAGGATAGACTCCTGTGTATCCCTCTATAGTCCTGTTTCTGTCACAAATTCTGTGTTTCTTAATCACTTGCATGCTTCATGCTTCTCTATTTTCTTTCTTTCCTTCTTTTTTTGCGACAGAGTCTCACTGTTGCCCAGGCTGGAGTGCAGTGGCCCGATCTCTGCTCACTGTAAGCTCCACCTCCTGGGTTCAAGAAATTCTCATGCCTCAGCCTCCTGACTAGCTGGGATTACAGGTGCTCACCACCAGGCCTGGCTAATTTTTGTATTCTTAGTATAGAGGGGGTTTCATCATGTTGGCCAGGCTGGTCTCGAATTCCTGAGTTCAGATAATCTGCCCGTTTCGGACTCCCTAAATGCTGGGATTATGGGGGTAAACAACCGTGCCTGCTTTATTTTCACCTTCTATGCACGCATTCCTGAACACTACAGAGTGTTTCTTTGCAGTGTTTTGTTTCGTTTTTGAGACACAGTCTCGCTCTGTCACCCTGGCTGGAATGCAGTGGCACAATTTTCATCCACTGCAACCTCTGCCTCCTAGGTTCAAGCAATTCTTGTGCCTCAGCCTCCCAAGTATAGCTGGGACTGCAGGCATGCGCCACCACACCTGGATAATTTTTTATATTTTTAGCAGAGATGGGGTTTCACCATGTTTGCCAGGCTGGTCTCGAACTCCTGACCTCAGATTATCTGCCTGCCTCAGCCTCCCAAAGTGTTGGGATTACAGGCTTGAGCCACCGTGCCCTGCCACTTTGCAGGGTTTTAATGTTTATATAATGGTATCTTACCGTGTCATTCTACAGAGTGCGTTTTTCTTTTCATTTTGGTTCTTGTGTTTTGCTCAACGTGATGTGTTTGAGATGTATTACCCATCTTGATACATGCTGTGCTAGTTTATTTCATCTGTTGTGTAACTGTGTTGCCACTTGTCTCTTCTGTTGGGAGAGGTGTGGGTTGGCTCTTAATCTTTGTGACTGTGGATGACGCTGAAGCTAAGCTCCTGATGGATGGTATCTCTTGTTCACATGGGGAAGTAACTTCAGGGCTTCGTTTTTTTAAATCAGATTAACTCTACTTCTGAGCTGCACTTGCTCAGTGACCAGGATTCAGTTTCTGGGATTATGCGGGTTTCTGGCATCTGCTGGGAGGTGCAAACTCCTCAGAGACTTCCCTGGTCCAGGACATTGGGGAGCCCTCTCCTTTCTGCTGCTGTGACCACCGGCCAGCCTGCAGGGTCGAGGAAGGCAGGTGGTCTGCTGCTGCTTGGCTAAGTGAGGACACAGTCTCCTGTGGCCAGGCTGCAAGCCCCGGTCCCGGGAACCCGCCTCCCCAGTTATGCTTCTTGCAACTCTCCTCTGAACCTCTGCCTCCGCCCAAAGACCCTTTGAAGATTCAGGGAGGGATGCCCGATACTCCCAGAACCTCCTCCTGCCTTGGGAAACTGAGAATGGCTTCTCTGTCCTCATGCCTCTTGGAACCAACATGGGGAAAGGAAATGCTAAAAGCAGCCAGCTGGTTTTCACCGACCCTTCTTACTCCAGCGTTCCCGAGGCTGTGGCCCCTGCCAGGAGGAAGCGCCCTGGATGGGAGGATGGATGGACCTCCCTCACTGGGGCACTGCTGGGCTGCGTGGGCTGTTTCCTCAAAGGCTCAGCTGCAAGTTCCTGAAATGTGGCACCCACAGCTCAGAGAGCATGTTAGAGGGGAACCCTGAACCCCCTGCGGGGGTCAGAGGAGGAACACAGGGAGGATCCCAGGGGGTCTGTGGCTAAGTGCCCTTGTCACTCATTCAGTCAGTTAGCCAATAAACACTTGGTTTTTTTGTTTTGCGATGAAGTCTTGCTCTGTTGCCCAGGCTGGAGAGTAGTGGTACAATCGAGGCTCACTGCAGCCTGCGCCTCCCAGGCTCAAGCCATTCTCCTGCCTCAGCCTCCCAAGTAGCGGGAATTACAGGAGAGCACCACCACACCCGGCTAATTTTTTATTTTTTGTAGAGTCAGGGTTTCAACATGTTGGCCAGCCTGGTCTTGAGCTCCTTGCCTCAAGTGATCCACCCACCTTGGCCTCCCAAACTGCTGAGATTACAGGCATGAGCCACAGCACCCTGCCCAAACTCTGTTTTTCAAAGAGCTCGAAGCATAGTGGGGAGGCAGTGATACACAGGCAATGAACTAACGCTGTGATAAATGCCGCAACCCAGAAGAGCAAACACTATTGATTCATGCAAAACTCATTTTGTACCTACTATGTGCCAGGTACTGTTCTATGTGCTGGAAATGTAGCAATGAACCAAAAAAATTTAAAAACCTCCCACTTGATTTCCAACTTGGTCCCAAGGGATGCCACTTGGGATCCCAGGTGTCCGGATTGCATTCTGAGCCACAAGGCATCGTGGGACCTGAAGGGGTTTTAAAGTTTGTCTGCAAGGTGTGTTAAATCCTGGAATTAGATTGGATTTAGTTTACTTTTTTTTTTTAAGTGGATTATATGTGGCTACAAAGAGTCATAGAAAAACACAGGTTCTGGAATTAGACCTCTCTTGGAGACTGTTTAATCTGAGAACAGACGAGGTGGTGGCTGGCGTTCCTGTTTGATCAGAGGGACTCTCCTGATCATGGGGTGGAGGTGGGGCTTGGGAAAGCTTTACGGGGGGTGGCACCAGGAGGCTGGCTGTGAAGGAAGAGCAGGATCCAGCTGGGAGAAAGGCTGGGGGACAAGGTGTTGAGGACATGAGGTGGCAGGCTCAGGTGTGGACTGCAATATGAACCATGATGGTGGAGAGAGAGCCCTGCATGGTCTCGCTGGGTAACCACAGTGTTAGAAAACACCTCAGCGGGGATGTGGCCTCCACACCTTGAGGCACTTTATGTATTCCAAGGGGATGTTAAATATTTTGTGTGGTTTAATTTGTGAGCTGGAAGGTGAGCCCTGCGGCTACCCCCAGCGCAGACTGCTTAGACCAAGTCCAAGGAGGGGGCAGCATCCCTGGGATGTGGGCAGCAGACAAGAGTGTGGCAGGTTGGGGTTCATTCCCAGCTCAGCCCCTGCTGCCTGGGTGACCCAGGGAAGTAGCAGAATCTTTCTAAGTTTCGTGGGGCTCCTGTGAGGGTTAGAAGAACCTGGGGAAGAGTGTGGCACTTTGTAGACACTCTGCAAATGGAGCTGACATTCCTGCATACTCTGTTCCAGCTGGCTCTAAGCCAGCAGTATTGGGGTCAGCATGCCCTGGGAGCTTGTTAGAAATGAACACTCTCTACCTGCACCCTATACCTGCTGAATCAGAATCCTGGGGGGTGGGGTCTGATCCTAGTTAATTGCTGACAGCTGCCTGTTACCTGGGGCTCCCACTGGGGGAACTGCAAGGACAGCAGAGAAGAGAGTTAAAAAAAAAACAAGAGTCATGGTGGTTCATACCTGTAAGTCCAGCACTTTGGGAGGCCAAGGTGGGCAGATAACTTGAGGTAAGGAGTTCGAGACCAGCCTGGCCAACGTGGTGAAACCCCATCTCTGTCAAAAATACAAAAATTAGCCAGGTTTGGTGGCATGTGCCAGTAGTTCCAGCTACTCAGGAGGCTGAGGCAGAAGAATCACTTGAACTCAAAAGGTGGAGGTTGCAGTGGGCTGAGATCGTGCCACTGCACTCCAGTCTGGGCAACAGAGTGAGACCCTGTCTTAAAATAAAATAAAAAATAAACTCTCCTCCTCTTTTGGAGATTACAGTTTAGTGCTGTGGATACACATAATGGGAGTAACTCAGACTGAGGAGTGTATCCAACCAGGTCTTTCAATAGAAGGAATTTAATGTAGGGAATTGGTTTCCCAAGTCATGAAAGTGCTGAGAAGCCAAGGGAGGGGATGCCGCTGCAGCCCCATGATTAGCAGCCAGGGAAAGTTGCTACCCACCCCTAAAGGCCGGAAGAATAACCAGAAGGGATGTTTTAACCGAAACCAGAAGTTAGGTTCATCCAGCAGGTACTATAGCCATGGCAGAGCTTGCCAGGTGGGAGATAGGACCGGGTATGGAGGGCCTGTCCAGAGGGAGCTGGAGCTACCAGGGAGCTGCTGTGAGAGGCAAGATGAGACGTACCCTGGCTTCTGTCCTCTTGTGGTCTGGCATAGGGAGAATTATGGCCCTCAGGAGTTCTCATCTGAATCCATGGAGCTGTGGCTATGGCGAGACACCATGCCTGTGGCTATGGTCCATGCCAAAAGGTACTTTGCAGAAGTAATTAAGGTTGCTAATCAGTTGGTTTTAGGATAGAAAGATTATGCTGGAATATGCCGTTGGGCACAGTCTAAACACGTGAGCCCTTAAAAGCAGAGAACTTTCTCTTGTTAGAAGCAGAAGACAGATGTGGGAAAAGGAGAAGCCAGAGAGATTCCAAGTGGGAGACAGGTTTGATGCACTGCTGCTGGCTGTGAGATGCACGGGTCACGTGGAAGGACTGAAGAAGGGGCTCTAGGAGCTGAGGGTGGAATTCTGCCAAAAGACTGAGGTTGGAAGTAGATCCTTCCCTGGAGCCTCCAGAAAGAAACACACCTAGCCGGGCACAGTGCCTCACACCTGTAATCCCAGCATTTTGGGAGGCCAAAGCAGGAGGATCACCTGAGGTCAGGAGTTGGAGACCAGCCTGGCTAACATGGTAAAACCCTGTCTCTACTAAAAATACAAAATTACCTGGACGTGGTGGCACACGCCTCTAATCCCACCTACTTGGGAGGCTGAGGCAGAAGAATTGCTTGAACCCAGAAGGCGGAGGTTGTGGTGAGCCAAGATTGCACCACTGCACTCCAGCCAGGGTAACAAGAGTGAAACTTTGTCTCAAAAAGAAAAGAAAAGAGAAAAGAAACACAGCCCTGCTGACACCTTAGTGTCAGCCCTGTGACGCCCCTGGGCAGAGGCCAGCTGAGCCTACCTGCACTTCTGACCTCCATACAGAATTGTGAGATTTAAAAAATCTGTGCTGTTTTTATTAATTTTTCATGTATTTTATTTTTGAAATGGAGTCTCACTCTGTTGCCCAGGCTGGAGTGCAATGCTGTGATCTCGGCTCACTGCAACCTCCACCTCCCAGGTTCAAGCAATTCTCCTGCCTCAGCCTCCTGAGTGGCTGGGACTACAGGCGCCTGCCACGACACCTGGCTAATTTTTGTTTTTTCAGTAGACAAGGAGTTTCACTGTGTTGGCCAGGCTGGTCTCAAACACCTGACCTCAAGTGATCCACCTGCCTCAGTCTCCCAAAGTGCTGGGATTATAGGCATAAGCCACCATACCTGGCAAAAAAATCTATGTTTTTGTTTTGTTTTGAGATGGAGTCTCATTCTGTAGCCTAGGCTGGAGTGCAATGGCACAATCTCTGCTCACTGCAACCTCTGCCTCCCAGGCTCAAGCTATTCTCCTGCCTCAGCCTCCCAAGTAGCTGGGATTACAGGCATGTGCCACCATGTCCAGCTAATTTTTGTATTTTTAGTAGAGACAGCGTTTCACCGTGTTGGTCAGGATGGTCTCGATCTCTTGACCTCGTGATCCACCTGCCTTGGCCTCCCAAAGTGCTGGGATTACAGGCATGAGCCACCGCGCCTGGCCAAATCTATGTTGTTGTAAGTCATTAAGCTAGTGGTAATTTGTTATAACAGTGACTGAAAATGAATATGCCACCATCCAGTCCTCCACCAGTGCTGGCCACGGGCCAAGCCTACCTGGAAGCCAGTGGCCAAGGGAGTTTGGAAAATGTAGTTCCCTGTGATACAGAGCAGGGCGGGGTGAGGGTGGCTCTGTGGGCCCAGGGTCAACTGCCCAGAAGAGATGGGATCTATCAGGTAACCAGGAAAACACAGCTGGGTGTTCTGGGCCTGTTTCTTTCTCCCAGGCTTCTTTGCAGGCATTCCTTGGACAGGGGGAGAGGTGCTGGATGACCCTGAAGTTTCTGGAATGGGCTGTCCCTACTCCTCCCTTCTGAGGGCACGAGGCATCCTGATAGATACAGGATTTTAATCTTGCCTCCTCTGCTGGTTCTCTGGGTATAGATTTCTATTTTGGGCCATCTGACTAGTTGCTGCTGAACTGGTGATTCTCAAAGTGGGGTCCCTAGGCCAGCAGTATCAGGATCAGCATCCCGTAGGAGCTGGTTAGAAATGCAAATTCTCCAGCTTCACTCTGTACCTACTGAATCAGAATCACTGGGGGTGGGGTCAGAAATGCGGTATCTTCGTAAGCCCCACAGGGGGATTTGGTGCAAGCTGAAGTCTGAGAACAGGATGCTAGACCCTGAACTACTTGAGGGCAGAAATCCTCCTTCTCCATCCCCTGAGTACCTAGCCCAGTGCCTGGTCTTCAGGAAATATCAAAAGGCATTTGTTGGGCAGATGTTGGGTAAATGAATGGGTGGATGAGAGGTCATTCATCTCTGTGCAGCTCTGTTGAATGTACCCTCTTTTGTCTTGCATGCCATTCCTGCTTCCCCTGGGATGTGGGTGTTTTCCAGGCCAGTGCCAAGGGCTGCAGGCATGCCAGGTGGCAGCAGATGAGACCTACTTTGGAGACCTGTGTCCGACTCAGGGAAGCTACCTGTGGGTGCAGTACCAGTGTCGGGAAGGTGAGTCCCCAACTTGCTTGAGCATAGAAATTCCCCTCTTAGGCCAGGCACAGTGGCTCACATCTGTAATCCCAGCATGTTGGGAGGCTGAGGTGGACGGATCACCTGAGGTCGGGAGTTGGAGACCAGCCTGACCAACATAGAGAAACCCTGTCTCTACTAAAAACTGCAAGACTGGGAGGCTAAGTCTGGAGAACTGCTTGAGCCTAGGAGTTTGAGATCAGCCTGGGTAACAAAGGGAAACTGTCTCTACAAA